TGCTTCTGTTTTGTATGCACCTTTTCACCTTTGATGACTTACTTTCTGGTTCTGTTCCGTTTAGTAGGTAAGAAAAGGCCAGGAGGATTGCTTACGTGATGACTGAGCAATTACCGTGCCCAGGGCTGTAATACTCTGTTTACTCAACCTCGATGGGCTATTTTAACCTGATTTTATCCTCGTTTTACAAATGGGGAGGTTGAGGCCAAGAGAGGCTAAGTGGTCTGTCTGACATCACAGCTAATATACAGTCAAGACAAAGTTCAGATTCCAAATTTGTCTAATGGTAGCAAGAGGAAAGGTTTGGCATCAAAAGAGCTTGAACTCGATCGCTTATGGAGGTGTTCGGTTATCAACAAATAGCCCTGAGCTAAATGTTGCCCAACATTGATATTGATTAATCCTAAAACACTTTTTGCTTTTATCGAGAGCACAGTGGTTTATTACATACGGTGAGAAAAACCCAAGTGGAAGGTCTGCCTGCCCTCAAGCATTTCCTAAGTTAATCCCCTGATGGCTTAGAGAAGATGAGAAATACGTATAGACAGTTGCTACCAGATATAAATGAACATATATAATACGGTCATTGTGATAGTTTGGGAGAATACATCAATAATAGTAAATAAGTTGTATTTTAAACATGTTTCCATGTATTTCTTTGTTCTTTTCAAGGGGAAAAAATTTAGATTTTACCATTCTCTTTTCAGACCATATTTTACATCCTTCCACGCCTTTCAGGCCTGGTTGAAGACGAATGGATTGCCATTGGTAAATTTACCAGATTCACTGACATTCCTTTAGATGCAGGATTTCAGTGGTACCTTTCGCCAGCTCACCTCTGTGAACTAAAACCGGGTGACTGGGCTCAGCAGGACACAGGTAAAGAAGTGTTTTCTTTTTCTCCCACTTGTTGACTTGGTTAGCCTTACTCGCTTCAGTTACTGAGAACAGAGAGTTGATCACACCACTTTTCACTGATGTGGTGAAGTCCTCTCCTCCTCCACTTAAAGACCGTGAAAAGTGCTGTAACTTTGGTATTTTTAATTGCTTGGCTTTGCTATACAAAGCCAAGGAGAGCCTGATCTGTTTTATTATATAAAGCTAGTAACTTCCCTTTTCTTTGAAATATTATTGTTAATATTTACTGCTCTTCCATTATGTATTTCTGTAAAAGTACAGATTTTAAAAAGGGTCAGATTATGAAATCTCATTTCTTGGCCCATTTAGGAATAAAGCAGAGCTCCTGATTCTCGTCCTTTGTGGGTCTGGCTGGACCTCACTCATCTGTCCAGCCTTCTTTCTCCTGTTTCTCCACCTTCTGTGACACTGCTTCCCTTCAGCTTTCTGAAGGACCCACAGTTCCTTCGATTGCTCACCTCCTCCCTGTTCTCCTGCACAGTCCAGTGACCCCTGGAAAAACCAAGGACCAAGTCTCCCACCCATCCTCGAAACCACAGCTAGTGTTAATGTTGTGTAGCAGTGGTCTCCCAGTTCTCCTCACTGCTGCCGCTCCTTTGGTCCTCGTTCACGCTCTCCCTGTTCCAGAACCAGTGAAGATTCCTTCAGAAAATCATAAATGGTCTTTGTCTCCTTCATAAAGCCTAAGTGGGCGCTCTTCTCTTATACCTACTCTTTATGGGGCATTCATTTGCTAGCTTCTTGCTATCCTCATTTTCCTCTTCCACCTGACTCTTCTCACTCCTCTTTAGGAGTTCCCCTCTTTGTCCTGTATATTTGTAGTTCTCTACAATTTTAATGTTTTCAAGAATCCCTTGGGCAACTTGTGTAAAGTACAAATACTTGGGTCCCCCCCTTTGATTTTAATTCAGTGTGACTGGAGGAGAGTTCTGGGAAAGTGCATTTTTTATCAAACATCTAGATGGTTCACTAATACATTTTAAGACATAATCACCTTAAATTTATTTATTCCTTCAACCAAGATTTATCGATTGCCTCCTGTGTCTAGATATAAGGCCAAGTCCCTGCCCTCAGGCAGCTTGCATTCATTCCTACATAAAAGGCACCATGAAAACAAAGCAGGGTAGAGATAGTGACAGAGGATCAAAGAAACCTTTCTCGGGAGCTGACATTGAGTAGAGACCCACGTGAAGTGCGAGCAGTCGAGCAAAGATCCTGAGGAAGAGCTTTCCCAAAACAGAGGAAAACAGAGGACCTCAAACAGGGAGATCTGAGGGCAGAAGATGGTGACAAAAGCTACTTCATCAGTGTGGTGGGGACAGCTCTGCTGGGGCGGGCTGAGCAGAGATGGGAGGAGAGAGGAGGAGAGCATACGTGGGTCCTCCCCATGTATTGTGTTGGGGGCCACAGGGCGGAGCAGAGAAACCAGGCGTCACTTGGGTGGGCAAAAGGCTAAGGAGGTTTCTGTTTTGTCTGGTGTGTGGAAATGAGAGGGGTACTGCAATGCAGTCTTTATGCCAAGACTTCACTGGTAGTATCCCCGGAATGTTTTCATTGGCCTGGTTTCCTCATTCTCCATGCTGTCCCTGAACACTTTTAATTTCCCCAACTTGAGACCACCACTCGTGTAACGTAACTTCTCCTCTTTGTTTCTGCCTGGCCTCTTTCCTGAGCCTGCTGGACATTTGCACCTAGATACACCATAAACTCTTTAAACTCAACATATTCAGATTGCATTTCCCTTGCTGCCCTCACTTGGCCTCCTCTATAAACCCCTTCTGTCAGTGGTGCCCCTCGGTCATTCTTTTCTCTTGTGCCGCATTCATATGTTACCAAATTGGCATGATTCTGCCTCCAGATCTGGCTGCTTCTGCTCTTGTCTTAATTTAGACTGTACTTGTCTTTGCCGGGACTGGTGCAGAGGCCCCAACTTATCCTTACCTCACTTTTAAGAGGGATTTTTCCTAAAACACAAAACCAGTACTCTTATCCCCCTTCTTAAAACCCTTTAATGGCTCCTATCTGTAGAGTAAGTTCTTTATCATTCTATACAAGTCTTTCATGATCTTTTTATGGGCTGAGCCATCATGTTCCATCCATGGCACACGGTGTAGTAAGCTACAACGGAGTTCTGCCGCTGCCTGGGCCACTGTCCTCCCACACCCTGTGCACATGCACACCTGGTCTGCGGTCTGCACTGCCCTTCCCCACTCGGTTTGCAGACTCCTCCCTGAGCCCTCCTGGGTCTTTGTCTCTGCCCGTCCCTCCCTCCCCGAGACATTACACACACTCACTGTAGTACCGTGTTCTGGTATCTGCATCTCTCTTCCGTCCTGATAAGCTAAGTGCTCCTTGGTGGCTCGGTCAGCAGTTTGGAGTAGAGCAGTTGAGGAAGAGCCTGGAAGGACAGTCTCAGTCCTGTGCTACAGCTCAGAACACTGCATTAGACAGGTTACTAACGTTCATTAAGAGATAATTGGTTCAGATAATATCCTTCATTTTAGGAAAGTTTCCCCAAGTACTTGTAAAATAATTTAGGATAAAGACTGTGTATATTTGTTTTCAGGAATACCCTCTTGTTTGTCAGATACACCATTATTTTATGGACCTCTAAGAAAAAATGCTAAAATCATACCAAACTAGGATACCCTGTGGAATTCTAAGATGCTTCCCAGTTTGGGATATGCTAAAATGTAGACAACAAGTGCATCTTCTATTTCTTTTTTTATTATTATTAGAGAGAGAGAGCACAAGTAGGCAAAGCGGCAGGCAGAGGGAGAGGGAGAAGCAGGCTCCCTGCTGAGCAGGGAGCCCGATGCGGGGCTCGATCCCAGGACCCTGGGATCATGACCTGAG